AGAGCCCAGATTGTGCGGTGTTACACAACTGTCTTTTGTTCACGAACCTAGCTCAGTGCACTACTCACCTCTTTTCAATAGGGGCCAGATTAGCGTGCAGCGGTGCTGTGTGGCTCATCACTGCGGTGGTGGAGCGCTTTTGTCCCCGATGGTAATCTGCTCTCTCTAAATGCCCCAAACCATGGTATACGGTTTCAAAACAAGGCTGGATTATCACCACTTTTGAGAGTGAAAAATGTCAGTAATGCCCAGCAGCCTGGTCTTTTGTTCGGAGTACGGTCTTTTGTTACAGGACCCTGTTTCCTTTGTCCGAGTTCGGAGCCCCCGGCCACCCATATGAACCATACGTCTCCGATCCCGGAGTCCCCGGCAGGAAGTGGTTAATGTACTTAAATGGAGTTACTTGAGGGGCTAAATGGTAGCAGCTCATAATGGGAATCAATTATGTGCTGACATTAATACACTGAGCGGGAAATGAAGTGCAGGTGTACATGTATCATAGCACAGCAAGTTGGTTTGATCATGGGCAAATCTGCTGATTTTTTCTCATAGTTTGAACAGCAAGGAACCACAGGCAATGGAATGTAGAGCCATTGTTTGGGGATTCAAGTGATTAACAATGTGGTTGTTGAGGTAGCAGAAAAAGAGCATTGGTACAATGCTGTAGCCTCTCCGAAATAAAGTGAAACATTTGTAAAAAAAAAAAAAAATTGAGTCTTAAACAGTACTGTAGTCGAGACCTCTTAAGACCATCATACGTCCTCCACAAGACTATCACAAGATCTCCAGTCTGAATTCAAGTCACAGGCTATTCAAATGAACTGCAACAAAAGCGTTTGCCATTGTTCACCCTGTTACTTGTGACTGGTCTTATGCATGGTCTCGACTACAACACTTATCTTAATTTTATAAAATGAACCAAAACTGAAACAGAAACTAAATAAACAGAAACAGACAGTAAACCAAAAAGTGAATTTGCATGAGTAATTTGGAAGACTTGAATAAGTAGGCAAAATTTTACGAGTAAGCAGTAAGTTCTTGGCATTTCTTCAGAGCCCATTTTCATATTTGCCATTGAATCTTTGATTGAGAAACTTTGGTACAAATCAGGTATAAAGTAATAAAAAATGTGTCTTATTATTTACATTGAATTTATTGCACATTTTGTTTAAACTGCACAGCACTTCACTTTGGCTATGCACACTCTGTGACTTGTGTGAGCCATTTTTCACAATTTCTCTCCATGTCCTGTGATTTTTGAGTGTTTTAAACCATTAATAGTGAAATACTTCCCATCAAAGTGAGTTCGGAAGCTTTCACAAGCGTTTTTGCGTTTGCTGTTTGATTTATTCCATAAGCATCACGCCAGTCTGGTTAGTGTTTGTCTAATCAAACTGTGGCAACTTCTAAAATGTGACAGACATTATTACTTTTGACTTTTTAGAAAAGCCACATGATGAATTCCTGATTCTAAAACACAGTGAACATTTTGAATAGCGTGAGTGTGACTGAGGCTGCAGAGATATAAAACAAGTGCTTTGAAATGAACAGTGTTCTTAACTTAAAAAGAATGCCCTATTGCAGTTTGACTGAGTTCTCAGCATGTACATGCATGGCATTCATTGTCATCCATTCACCCTCCTCTGCATGATTTTTACACCTTTTTTAATCCCATAAATGTTAAACTAAATGGCCAGCAACTCGCCAAGACTCTTTTTTCATTGCTTATACATAAAAGAAAAACTCTAAACCTTTTGGAAACAAAAAGAGATTTAAAAATCTTTATTTCCCTTTTAAAAAGTGCTGTATAATGTACGTATTTTGAATAATGGTACTGATTTGTTAATTGCTACTCAAATGGCTCAACAATGACATAATACACTTCTGCATGACAAAACCACTCACTTCTGCACTCATCACCTCATCTTACTAACAAAACTACATGTAATTTAAGAATAACCACACTGCACATTAACCTATGTAGATTACACCACCCTAACCACTTACATGTACGTGAGACAACAACTGTAATGCATTGAATGGTCTTGCCTTGGAGCCTTTCAATGTTGTCACAATACAATTGAGTCATGCTTGATTTCTTTGCCATTAGAACATCGTGGAGAATCTAGCTGGCCCCACTTCACCCATCAAGGATCTTGGCAGGCTGCTGCAAGACATGGATGTGCACCGACTCAGGGCAGTAGTCTACAGGGATGTGGTGAGTTGAGTCTGTTTGTCCATCAGGTTTTCTGTTTGTGATTCCGTCTTGGCTTGATGCATGTCCCAGTGTACACTTCTTGATCGTGGTCATCTAACTGGATTCTACAAACACAAGCCATGTGTTAAGTTGTTGTCATAGATGCATTTTGTAGATTATTCTGTTATGACTTCTGGAGAAGCAGTCGTGCACCAAAGCAATCCATTTGAAATATAAGGGCATCTGCGGTTCATTCTATGGTTCTCATTTCTCATTTCTGACTGACCCTTATTTTTGGCTCTGATTGAGGGAAAACAACTTTTTTATGTTGTCTACCCTGTCTCAAATTTCTTACCAAGGAACCAAAATGAGAAATATTAAGAATTTTTTAGGACAAGCAAGTAATTTTTGCCAAGGTAAAAAAAAGAGAATGATAGAAATAACTACTTTTAACAGAAACTGTTAGGAGATGACTGATTTGATTTTACCCCTTGTATTTTTTCTTCAACAGGAGGAGAGCAAGCAAGCCCAGTTCCTAGCTCTTGCTATTGTCTACTTCATCTCAGTCCTGATGGTGGCCCGATACCGTGACATCCTGGACAACGAGGTGGGTAGCTCCACCCCATCCTCAGCCCGCTCTCGCCAGAACTCCCTCCGCCAGAAGCCCAGCCATGCCTCCAGCAGCCAGTCCCTTGCCTCTGAGACCCCTTTGGAGAACCGCGGCACCCAGACAGTGCTGACACGGCTGGGGAAGAAGGCAGTTGCCAGGGAGAGGCCGGTCACCAAGGAAATGGCACCATCCAAGCCTCAGGCACAGATTGTGATGAAGAAAGAGGCAAAGAATGTTGAGGAAAGTGGCCCAGCTGACACAACAGTAAAGAAGATGGAGAATGGTGAGTGCCTGTTATTATTCAGCTTCATAAATATGCACAAGCTGGTCTGCTTATTTTATTGGTCAGCATTACTACATTCTATTTCCTGATTGTTTAATCTGCAGATGTCTCTGAAACGATTAACACACCCCAGATGGATACAAAGCCAACCCCCGTCGTCAAACCAGGCTCCCCTCCACAGAGGGAGAGTGATGCAGTCCCTGAGAAAATTGAAGAAGCACAGACTATGGATGAACAGACAGCTCCAAAGGACAGCCCTGAAATGGATAACAGGGTCGTTGAGGGTGAGGAACAGAAGGACGTGAAGGAGGCAGAGGAAGGTGGGGAACTACACAAGGAGAAGCGTATCATCCAAGAGGAGATTGCAGAGGATGCGAGCATCGCCTCCAAGGAACCAGCCCAGGAGAAAGTTGAAGTGGAGAAGGAGTTAGCAGAGGATGAGAAGTCGGAGAACAATGCTAAGGAGAAAGCATCCGAAGAGGAGATGCCCTCTAAAGAGAAGGGTGGAGACACAGACGAAGAGACTGACACCAGGGCTGCTCAGAGAGAATCCCCTGATGGACAAGGCCGCGGTGAAGGGGATGCTCCACCTACATTCCAAGCCGTTGCACAATTGAACGCCCGAGTGGTTGCAAACGGTAGTGCTCCGAGTGCATCAGCCCAGTCCAGTCCAGATGAGGCTGGGGCAGCAGGTGCTACGGATGGTCCCCTGAATACAGCCTCCATTTCCTCCATGATCACTGCCTCAGAGAAAGTTGGTAAGCTCACAATTCTTGTGCTTACTCAGCAAGGGTCTAAACTAGTTTGGGTTTCATATCAAGAATGAAAGTCATTCCTTTAATGGTTAGGTGTGAGTTTACTGTTCCGTTAGTAGTCAGATTATACCTGTGTAACTTTTTGGTGGAGGGCCAGTTTTTAAATGGAAGAACCATGAAAACATTGTCTACCTCTATTATACCAGCCTAATGTATAAGTGTTGCCCTGTGACCTGGTTGATGTGGCAAGTCATAGTCATATTTCCGGCAATCGGTATGTGTTATTGTATAAACTGTGAGGCAGTGGTGTGATTGCAACAACTGGGAGTTGGTGATTGATCATTTTTGTACTTTATGTGCAGAGAAACGGCCTCTACAGACCTGGCCATGGACTGCAACAGCTGATGCAGAAACCCAGGAGAATGAACAGAACGGTGGCCAGCCCAAACAGAGTGAGGACCCCGAGGAGCCCTACCCGGCCATGCCATTCCCCATGGACCACTCGGTCCCACCTGCTGGCCGCAGCGATGCTCCGTCTAACTCCGCTCGCCCCAAGAACCTGGAGCTGGACAGCATGACAACGCAGAGCATCAACTCATTCAGTGACTGCTACCTGGGGGAGGGGACAGTGGAGGAGCGATTGACCAAGGCCCTGGAGACTGCTGCTCCATTGCTTAGGGAGATTTTCATTGACTTTGCCCCATTCCTATCTAAGACCCTGCTAGGCAGTCATGGACAAGAGTTACTCATTGAAGGTAAAAAGTGCGTCCTGGCTTGACAACCTGAACTTTGTGCTTTTGTGGCCAAAATTTAACTCAGGAATTCATGTCTTCTACTTTGAGTAGAAAACATCAATCCAGCAGAGTTTTTTCATTGAGGTAGCTCATGCCACTTGCTAATGCTAAGTGAAGTTTTTTTTCCACACGTTTGGTGTTTTGACATTTTCTCTTCAGTTTAATTGATTCATTATTGTTTTCTCCTCTTTTTTTGGAATGGGATGGCATTTTCAACCATGTAGCACTTCTCAGTGGCACCCTTGCCCTTTCCCAATGAAAGATGTCTGCTTGCAGCATTTGAAAAATTTATGGACTTCCGCTGTGACTTCTGTCACCCCCCTGGGAACGGGAAGAGCATGAACTAAAGGAAATACCACCCTTGCCATTCAGTGTGCCCTCAATGAAATCCAGATTTGTAAACAGATAAATTTAAGTGAGTCGTTTTTACAAGATAACACGTCTGCTGTCTGGCAATTTTTGGAATCCCCCCAGGGGTTTTGTCGTTGGTTTTAGGAGGGGTGAACTTGAGATGAGGGATGAGTACTGCTTGACGCACATAGTGTAGGGGTTGGCACTGCCATCACAAAGGTCTCGTTGAGTGTATTTTAAGGGTATCAGTTCATGACAAATACGCTGAGAAAGCCCAGACCAGACAAGGCAAGAGAACCTATGGGCCTGTAGGTGTGAATGAGGAAGTCACACCTGCAGATTTGTCCTCACTCTCTCAGGAAATGATGGAATCTTTCTAGACAAGATTTATGGGTCAATAGTTTTCTCTGATGCATCAGAGTGACGCAAAGTTGTACCTTGGTGTTGGGCTGTCCTGTCTCAGCTCATTGATGTGGATGAAATGGAGCCAAACTGAACACGAGTTGGAATTTATGCCATTGCATGATTTAAAGTGAATGGGGGTTTGCCATTCGTTGTGCATTACTGTCTTTTGTGTCTGGTGCTGTCCTTTGAGGGTTATAAAATAGTTGACTTGAAGCAGAAGTAAGTGATATTTTACTGAGTTATTTCAGGTGAAAAGAAAAATACTGGCATTGAGAAAAAAATATGTACCTCATGTTTTGTTACTTTTCAGTAATGAGATGACATGAAACCAGGCATCTCAAAGAGTTCATTGGAATTCTTCCAATTGTTATGTGCGATATTTGTGTACAGTGCAGTGTTGAGTGTTGGACTGTGTTGCTGAACACCCGCATATGTGTGACAGTGACCAAAAGGTAGTCATCACCAATGAAAATGCAAGTTGCCCTTAGCTTAGACTTTACCAGCACAGATCATTTGTTATTGTTGAAATCAACCTGCAGAAATACACTCTTCACGATAAACACACTCTTCACAATTTTCGGTGTTGATGAAATCATCCAAAGGTATCAGACTTTAGTGCCAAAAATGTGCTTATAATGTTTGTAACATACATTTGTATGTTACTAACATACAAATGTTTATAGAGCAGATTGACCCATTTTGTTTAATCATTGATCTGTCACATTGCGTCCGTCAGGGGTTGTGTCATCTAGGCTAGTGACAAGTTGTCCCACTTTTCTTTCAAACTGCAACACTGTCAAGATAGAGTTGTCCCCAAAATGCTTCCTTTAAGGAAGCCAGAACTAGGTTGCAGTGGCAACAAACTGTCACAACTGTCACATCACCTTGTGAGATTTGGCGTAATCCATTATGGCACACATACCCTATCCATTTCAGCGAGGTTAGCTTGTCATGGAGTTCCTTTCTCTTGTATTTTAACAGAAATTGCATGTGCCGTTGAGTGTGAAGGATTGAGGGCACTTTGGGAATGCCATTTTACCTGAAGTGCCCGTAGGTTATTATTGATGTAGATCTGAGTATTCGTTGGTCTTACTTTAATTTGATTATTTCACATTTTGAAGAGGTGGCAAAATAAAACAGCTGATGCAAGTGGGAGTCCTCATATGCTGCCCTATAAAGAATTAAGGGTTATTTCATAGTGAGAAAGCAGAGGCAAGGTTCATGTTTATTTTTCTTCTTTCTGTTACAGGTCTGGTGAGCATGAAGTCCTCCAACTCGGTCATTGAGCTGGTCATGATGCTGTGCTCCCAGGAATGGCAGAACTCCATCCAGAAGCACGCCGGCCTGGCCTTCATCGAGCTGGTCAATGAGGGCCGGATTTACTCCCATGCCACAAGGGACCACTTGTTGCGAGTAGCCAACGAGGCCGAGTTTATCCTGAGCAGGCACCGGGCAGAAGACGTACAGAAACATGCCGAGTTTGAGGTAACAACACTCCCTGGAAAACTCACTGCAGAATCCAGCAGAACTCATCAGCCACTACAAAGCCAGCGGTTACTGCTCAGTTCAATAAATTTCAACTCGAAAAATGCCTATTATTGGATTGATGACATTCATCAAAGCTGTAAGGAAAGTGCTTCAGTGTCTTTCTTTTCAGGAAAAGTTGTAACAAAGGGAATTTGAACATTTCCCCAAAGCAGATTTCTCTGGCAGAAAATATTATTACAAAAATTATTTAAGCTTTTATCAGTTGAGCAAAGTTCAGCATTTGACACTTTAGCTGAAAAACCTATTTTTGGCTATGCAGTTTTTGTGGTAAGGAAATTTAGTTCGTTATGAACGCCAAGACAAACCGTAGGGGCTCACCTGTTACCCCTGATCCCACCTCCTTTATTCCCTTAAAGCCTTGCCTTTGTCTAGTCATTTTATTCACACCATTTAAATTGTTTCCCTGTTCATCCCTGTACGCCTTTCAGTCCATGTGTGCCCAGTCGGCTATGGAGTGCAAGGAGGAGGAGAAGATGTGTGACCATCTCATCACGGCGGCTCGGAGGCGGGACCACATCTTTGCCAACCAGCTGCTGCAGAAGACTATCAACATCCTGACCAATAAGCATGGAGCCTGGGGCAACGTCACTAACAAGTATGTGAAGAAATGTTACGATTCAGCAGAATGCGCCCACCAAAAGAAATGCCTTTTGAATTGACTTGCTTTAAAGAACAAGGTAGTTTAGATACAAAGGCCATCATTTTCAGTGTTTTCTCGCTAGGGATTAATCTGGCCAGACAGGCTCAGCAGACTGCGTTTCTGATATTGTCTTCCTCAGAAATCATACCCTGAGCTCTTGTGTAGCCTTGTTGAGCCCTTCAGGGTTTCAAGCCCTTAATAATGCATGGCCCCCTTGAGCTTACCGTTTCCATCACTGTCAAGCTGAGTACCTTCCTGTGCTTCCACTACCATCCATCTAGTCCCCCCCCCCCGTCCCTCAGATTGGAGCAGTTGCCCCACCCTGTTGGCCACTTGCCTATCCAGATTTCCCACCCTCTTTACCCTCTTACTGTCCCCAGTTTTTGGTCGGCTTTTCTCTCAGTATATCATAACACCTTGGCAAGAGAGTTGAAGTGGATTTAGATTGTTCTCATTGTTCCTAATCCCACGTGGTACTAGCCAGAGCAGTCCCTGCATATCCCAGTAATTGATCACTCTCATTTCTTTGCCGACATGGATATTGGTTTTTCTGAGAGACTACCGTGAGTGGCCTGGGAATTCTCCCAAGTCGTTCATCCCTGGGTTAATGCCAGCAAAGTGAGCTGTAGATCCCATGTTGTAGATGGACATATATTGCCCGTGTTGGAAGTAGGAGAGGAGTCTATGACAGAAGGACAGGGCTCCTCTGTGCTGCCTTCCCACGCAGTGTTGAGCATTCTGTCACCATCAGTACATTTGCTCCGAGTCATCCATATCCCTCATGATCCTTCCTCAACAATGATTAGAGCTGATACGGCAGTGAATAAGCAATTGAAACCCGTTTCTCCATCTTTCCTATTTCCCGTACACCTGATCCCATCTCTGTGGCCATTAGTCGAAACCCGCAATCACTGATCATTGTCAGCAACATCCCAGCTGTCTTGAGGCAGATGATTTCTAATATGCAGAAAAAGCCAAACTTGAAGAGGCCTGTGTTGAAGAGGCCTGCGTTGATCCATGTTGATCTATCCCCATTGGATCCTTAATCTTGTATTTCCCCCTCAGTGTGGTTTGCAGAGGGTCCTGTCCAGGGTGTGCTGACTAACTGTGGAACATTTTTTCACACAGCCAGGTGGTTGTGGTGAATCACCCCACAACATGGTTCCCTGTTGACACTACTACTCATGTTAGCCAGGATTTAGTCTGTTGTCAATTCAGTCCTAATTATGTTCCATTGCCCAAAAATCTGCACTGCTCTGTCACTTGAAGGTTTTCGTCTAGTCACAGTCAACATCAATTGCAGTCACAGACTTTTAGCTAATCATGCTGAAAATTTACATGAATTACACCATGAACTGCTTATTCCAAAGTCCAGATAAGATGCCAGTTTTGCGGCATGGCCTTAAAACCATAAACGACAAAATATGGAGTTTCTTTGCCGGCAACTACTGTGCCCAACTTATATATTACTGCAAAACTCTACACATTGTGGATTCATGTTCAACCGTTATGCTTGGGGTTTTCAACAGGACAATTATTGCAATTTATTCAATCCCACATACAAATAACAGCCAGTAACAACAGCCAGTTTAAAGCATCATTGGTTACACAAGCTTAAAAATAGTTGGTTCTCGAGTGAATTCAAGAAGTCTTTACAAATTGTCAATATTTAGATAACAGCAAATTGATTTTTGGCTGTTTTTCAGAAGAGAAACTTGTGATACATGGTTGCATCAAAAGATTTGTCATGAGATTATAAATATTGTTGCTATGAACAAAATTTTCTCTTTTCTTCTGGGCAATTGTATCTGGGAGCATGAGCCCCAAGCTGGACCAAAATAGGGTGCAATTTCCTGGCTTTTGTGGTGGGAACTGCACTTCTCTGGTTCACAAACAACAATGAAATTTACACACAGCAGTTGTCTTCCAACCAACACGAATGAGCACTCCCCACCAACATGGCTCTTTTCAACCGATGAGTGGGGTGCTTCTGCTCAAGGAGGATGCATCCTTCTCAACTAGTCAATGACATTGGTGAAGTCACTTTTTAGTGAGGTGATACAAAAGATGAAAATTTACCTTTTGGGAGTGAGTCATATGCGAGACTGCTGTTGTGGTCCACTTTGACGAGTGACCGAGGGAGCTTCCGAAGCCTTTTGAACTTGGACTTTTTCTACTCCAAAGTTGATCAACCTTATTCACCTTCCTTTTAATGCACACTCACAGCTGTGAACAATGCTAAGGATATAGTGTTTGACAAGGTTGTTTTAGGGCTTGATACCAGTGCTGACTGATTTCATTAACGGTTGTCTCTTTGGCATAAAGCGGTGTGGCATTTGAAGAGAAACATCAGTGATGCACAAGCCAGCAACACTTGTTAGATTTATATTTAAAGGAAACGTTCTTATTACACGTTGTTTATTCCCTCATTCGTTTTCTTGAGTACATCTGCTCAAGCCATTTGTTAATTTGAGTTTCAAGGGAATTGTAAAAAATTGTCTGGGATGGACATAAGGTACGGATGGGTTCATTAGGTATGCATTAGGTGTAAGCACCATTTCTAATCTAGTACTCTCTATCATCAAAAGTATCCAGTTCCCATCTAGAATGATATTATCACACTTTCCTTTGAGTTTGAGCATTTAGAATGCTCTGGATTGAAAAAAAAATCAACTCAAACTACACTTTAAAACCTCAAAATGCCAGATGAAGATATATAACTCACTTCAGCAACCACAGAGGACGGTGTTTTGATAAGTTGTTTAGTAAAAATCTTTGGTTTGTAAAGTTCATCATTTCTGTGATTCCCACAGTCATTCATTTATTGCCAGAATATTTACTTCCTACCAGAGGGTCAATGACTCATTTACCATTGAACTGTTTGTATCATACTCACGTTGTTTTCACCCATTAGTGTACCAAGGATGTTAAGGGGGCTCCTAGAGATTTGAAATTTAGAACACATTCAGCGTGGCTGTATTAGCACACTTGAAGTACCAGTGGCAGGTCTTGAAGTTATCATTGTGTGTATATTCCTTGTCAGAGTTTGTTATTGATGAAAGGGGAATGTGTAATGTCACCTTTGCCAACATCAGGCAAGGATCCCACAGTTTTGGAAAGAAGCAATTACGGTGGTGACATCATCCTTCACAGGCGCATCATTGGTTGTTACATGGTGTAGGGTGCATGTGTGATATGATGTATGAGGTGTGTTAATTAACATTGATTGCCTGTCACATGCTATCATTACATGGCAAATCCCCAGACAGCATATGTTTGTTATCCCTGAAACTCAGGGAAATAATGACTAAATCCAGCTACAACATGTGGACTCGAACATTTCACACCCAATTATTCTTGAGTGGTTTATTGCTGGCAATTTCAAGTGATGTTATCCTTACCAGAATGTGCAGTGGGTTCAAACTAATAATGATAATAATTTCTGCAATTTTAATTGCCCCCTCTCCAGGGCCCCGCCTGTTCAAGATCGTATTACTACCTAGTTCAAAACGCACTAACACTGCATGTAAATACACACTACACATTAAACAAAAATAAACTCATTTGAAATCTAGATCTCCTTAGAGTTGACTTCTTCATGTGCTTCCACTTAGCACAAATGCCGATGAAAAGTATTAAATGCTTACTAGAATTTCAAGTCAGGAAAGGAGGAAGATTAGCCTGAAATTGAAATTAACTAATGCTATACATTCTGAACAATTTTCATTGAGTAGAAATTGAAACATTAAATGGCAACATAACCAGAGACACAGTCAAACCTATTAAAAAGTAATCAGCAAGTTTCTATAAACTCCTCTGTGAACTCCTAGTATTCACCTTGAATGTTGAGTTCCTTTTGGTCCTGGTTGTCTGCCTCCCTGTTAAGATATCTCTCATATTCCACAGCCTTGTCATTGCTTTGTCAGTGTAGGTGTAGTGTACCTATTGGCTTATTAGCTTTGTGCTACCACAGATGACAGGTGTTTAATCCAAAGTCAAGGTCCCTTATGTTACATGTGGCCAAGGACCTGGTTCACTTACCCATGAGTTTACTTCACTTGTGACCAGTCTGTCTGAATTCGAACACCCCTCCCCCCTCTAAGCACAATGATAATGGTTTCTACAAACACCTGTTGGACTATCATCTCTCAAACTGCACAGTAGTTTGTCCTTCATCTGCCTTTTTTTTGTTTCAGTTGTCATGTTGCCTCATACAAAACAAAGCTTTGATGAGCAGTTTGCTTGGAGATCTTTGCAATGTGCAATTTTTTTACAGAAAATCTTAGGGTGTGTTGCCTTGAGGTAATTTTTTGTGACTCCTGGGGGGGGGGTTGAATCCAGGAGCTAGTTGCATGTTGTGACCTTGTACAAGACACTTTACCACACTTTGTCCCTCTCCACTCAGAAGTATAAATGGGTAATTGTGAGGGTACAAAAATGTGACATTTCTGTACGTTGTCACAACTGACCTCTGTACTTTGACATGGAAATATAGTTGAAATTGACTCATTTTTATTTGTTTGGCAAAGTAACTTGCCTTATCTAATCCCTTTTGGAAATTAAAGAATATGTTCCAAACTCTCAAAATCATAAGTCATATTTGACAGGGACCCCAGATTTATAGAATGACCCTGATCAGCTTCCCAAACTGGTCTTGTGTTACTGGAACAGGGGTGATCATTATTTTCATAGTGCCTTGCTTTAGTGACAGCACTTTTAGATATGTGTGCTTTAAATAGACATTATTTTTTTATTCAACCTTGAAATTGCTGAGTTGTGTCGCTTTTAAACATTGGTCACTTAGTCATATGTGTGTTGAAAATCCTTTGGGTGAGCTGTCAAGGTTTTGAAATTGTCATTTTTTGAGGTTTGTTTTCCAGCCTTTTTGAAGCTTTGAATAGAACAAATTCTTGTGAATCCGTGCATGTACATGTATTTGCTGATTGGATATCAAGGCAAGGTTTGCTCTGCGTCGATAACCTTTCAGAAATATACAGGTGAAATTCTTTCCCGAGCATGTGTGCATTTTCCATCCTAGAAGTTGGTGTGTTTGGACAAGCGGAAGACTTGCATGTTGGTGCCTCACCAGGGACAATGTGATACTGTTGGCCGCTTATGTTACCCAAAAACCAAAGCTGAGCTCATAAAGCTGGCCCTGGAATCAGCCAGCTCAGATCCAAGAGATGCGTCACCACTTTATTAAGTTGTCTTGCTCTTCCGGAAAATCATCATCACCCATGGATTTCTCCATCAGTCAGCAAGTTTGAATAAAGCTGCCAAAAGGGCTATTGGGCGACCTTGAGCACTCGTAACAAAGTGGGATGAACTTTCTCCTTGTCATCATGTGGAACTAAAAGACAGAGACAAAGTCTTCCTGAACTGAAGCATTGATATTCCCTCATGTGCAAACATTATTTGATCTAGGTACTTGGCCTTGACTGAAAATGCCTAGATGTTTTGGCCATGTTAGCTACAATATGGTTCAGAATGATGGCTGTTTTTGAAATCAGCATGAGAGCTGAGCTAGGTCATTAGTAACAACACAGATGCTTAGTGACATTCATTTTCTTGAGGACTGTCAACACTATGTCTCTTTTGGGGACAGTTTTTTTTCTCTGTTTGTATGTTGAGGTCAGGGTGTTACTCAGCAGAAACAGAACGTCTGGTGGCCCTGCACTCGCTCGCTCCCATTCTTCACTGAGATAAAGACTCAATATTGAGATGTCGCTTCGTATCTTTGACTCATAGCAGATCAGTTCAGCACAACTGGTCTGGGAGGGGGAATAGAAACTGGTGGTGGATGGGGGAGGCAGAATGGACAGTGGGAGGTGGTTTTGGACAGATTTTTGGTTGCGTTTTCCCCCCAGTGTTTCAGAAATGTAAAATGTAACTACAGTTTATGTAATTGATTAAATGTGAATCCTGGCTTTGCTGTGCAAGGTTGTTGGCTTTGGTAATGAGACAAACAGGTTTGTTTCAGGACAGAGCAGAAGTGCCAAGGTGCTTCCGACTTTGGGCTCACCATCCCTGAAGATCCTGCAAATTTCTGTTCCAACTGTGTTCCTTTAATTGGCTCTTAATCATATCCTTGCTTGAAGGTGTTTGCAGAGTGCCTTGATTTCAGAGGTGAAGGCCAGCTCTTTATCTGGCACAGATCAGAAAAAGGGCCAGGGAAAGGCCCCACACTTTGCATCAAAGTGCAGTGACGACTTCAACCAAGATTGCCAACAGTAACACAAGTGAAGAATTCCTAAGAGTTCAAGTTCATAGCAGATGTAATCATTGATATCGGTCTCTTTTATGGGGGGGTCTGTCCTTTTTAGGGAGCAGTTGAGTCTGAATGGAGAAGACATCTGTGTTGGGTAAATCTATCTAGCAGGGCCAGGCACTCAACGTATTGTGGAAATAGCGGTTCAGTGGGTTTTTGTTACGCCTGGCTAGCTCACCGACTGTCTGGTCTTTCACTTTCAAAGGCCCATTGGCTGTCCACTTCGCAATTTATTTTTTTAATAATAACAAGTGAAATAAATCCTTTGCTCCAGAAAAACTACAAATTCCTGAGCCAAAGTTTACGTTTAGCAGACAAATCTGGCTGAGCAAAACAGACTCCATGCCCTGTTTCAGATGGTTGGTTCTCACCTGCTCTCTGGCTATTGCTTGAATAACATGTGAACAATCACAGAATGATTTATGGGGCAAGATGGTGCAATTTCCTTCATATTTGTCAGCTGATTCAGTCCTTTATGAAGACTTTTTTACGCAACATTTTTTTGGCTGAGCCTGTTAATCATTTCCTGCCGGGGTGCCCGGTTTCAGGCACATAGGCTTTACACACAAAGCTAGGAAGCCCGAAACCGGACAAAAGAGCTAGGCCTTATGACAAAAGACCGTACTCAGAGAAAAGGCCGAGCTGCTAGGAATTGCTCACATTTTTTCAATTGTCAGTAGTGGAAGAAATCCGTCATTGTTTTGAAAGATTATACCACTGTTTGTGGCATTCAGTGCGAGCGGATTACCACTGGGGACAAAAGCGCTCCAGTGATGAGCGATACAATACCGCTGCATGCTAATCTGGCCCCTATTGAAAAGACAATAGCAGCACACTGTGCCAGTTTCGGGAACAAAAGAAACTTATATAACACCACATAATCTGGGCTCTTTTTACCAGGCGGCAAGCCTGGCTGAAATACTCAGGCGTGAATAGATGTTGTCTGTTAGATTAGAGTAGCACCAGACAGTCATACGTGTGGGTATAAACGTCCAGTTAATGTACTTATGATTTTTTGAAGAATTTTGAAAATGGAAATCTTGAAAATCCCCCGGTTTACGTCATGCAACTTCAAATTAAACCTGGCAGCAAGTAGTCTCGTACATGCCAAGTAGAAAATCAAACCAAAACAAACTACAGAAACAAAAGCCAAACGGTTAAAAATAGCTACTTTTCATCTTGTAATCTGTTTACTTTGTAGGCCGCGCGAGTTCTATCGTGTAGACATGTGGGAGGATAACACTCGCCGTCATCGCAGACTTATCCGTAATCCTCTGGGTTCCACTCATCCCGAGGCTACACTCATGGCCGCCATTGAACATGGTGAGTACCAAGAGACACCTACAAGGCACGTGCAGATTTTCTTCAAGGATTTGCATATTTTTCCCCACAGGTTTCGTTCCCCTCAACCGCATTTTATGGAATTCTACTTTCATGGTGTAAAAGAGCAGATAAATATCTTAGACGGAAGAATATACTATTCTGTTTGTAAGAACAGAACAAAATGAAATCTTGTAATTTGACCCCTTATTTTTTTTATTCGAAATTCTTTAAAACATTAAGTACACTGTTAAATTGGATTAAGGGATTAGCAAGTTCCTGGAAAGTTAGAAAAATTTAAAATTTGACTTTTTAAAAATGTATCTATTTTGTGAGTGTGGTGTCACTTTAAGTGGCTAAGGGTTGGCTAATGATTTGAGCTTCTTATGATCTATGAAGTGGTTTCTGTGTACCTCATGTCATCCAATTTACAGGTTTATCTGCAGCTGTCTTCTGCTGTAGGGAATACAAATAATGATGGACACTCACATGTGTGCAACACATTCGCTTTTAACGTGATTCGTGATGTGTGCCTTGGTGTCCGTAATCCATGGTATGGCAAGATCCACTGAAGGCCACATTTCTTTAAGATCAAAGTTCTATAACCCCATAATATTCCCTGCTTGGAGTCTGCAGTCACTTGCAGTGTGTTTGTGTTGTTCGTTCATGTATTGATTATTTGAAGCAAGTAATCTATCTGACTGATCAATCCACAGGCGAAGACGAGGATGTGATTGAGAAGGCCAAGGAGGCCTTGCATGCCCAGCTGGCTGCAGGCAGACGGTTTGATGCTCAAGCTGGCGAGTTTGAAGAGGATAGCTCCAGCCTACAAGATGACAAGGATGTGGAGCTGGAAACAGAACTCGAAGGTAGCCTTTAAAATTTGGGGTCTTCCCTCATAGTGCTTATGTTGACACTGCTTCTGGTCCATCTGTAGATTCAAGGATGCACTACCCATTGTTGTTGAGTTCAGAAAGTAATTGATAAACATTCAGGGTAATTGTGCCCTCTGTAGAGTGATTGGGTAGTTGCTTTTCGTTACATATATGGAAGTAGCCATTAACTTTGGTAGTGAAGAGCATGGCAGTACACGACTAATGTGGGTTTGTGATAGATGAGTAAATTCAGCATTCCAAACCTTTCACTCCCAGGACCAGTTGTCTACAGCACAGCAGCCTCTCTCATTGCACCATGTGTGGTTGCCAAGGGCTCCCTGTCCATCACATCCTCTGAGATGTACTTTGAGGTGGATGAAGATGACCCAGCCTACAAAGAATTGGATCCAAAGGTCAGTTTGTGACTTTGTGAACAGAAAATCTTTTCACCAGTTTGTGAGTTATGCCAAAGGAGAACAAGAATTTCAAAACAGAGTTTCTAAAAAAAGATGTTCCATAGTATTTAGGATAAAAAAGTATTACCCTCTCCAACTTAAGTGATTCAGTTCTCACAGATGATATCACATTCTGTGTTGTCTTCTTAGTTTGGAGATGATTTAGAGTACTGCCTAATTGTGCAGAGTTTTACCACTAGAATTTTCCAAAAGTGACCATTTTTTTTATCCATTTGAATTCACTCTTTCTCCTTTGCATGGACTTCCAAAATGGTGATAGCCATTTCTTCATCAGTGTCGTCTTGTTTGTGTTGTGTGTTTGGTTTGCTAAACTAGATTTGACTTGCAACTAGAAAAATTAGTGTGTTTTATTCATCGCTGGTTGCTACTGCAAGCATTAACTTCAACATGGAGTGAAAAGGTAAATTCAGTTCACATTTCAAAGACATTTTTGTAAATATGTGTAAATATAAACTTTATAAAATGTATCTTTTATGTAAAATTTTTTTAAGATTTCTATTTTTTAGAGGGGTTGCCCATTACGTGAGTAAACATTGGTATAGCCTGATCCAAAATCAGGTTTGACATACAAAATCACCCATTGCTCCTGGAAACTCGAGGTTTATGAGTCGGTTCATCGACAAAAATAAAATCTCCAGATACAACATCAAAATTGTCTTGAATTAAATGAATGTAAAACACACAAAAACACTTTGAGGAAAAACCGAAACCTGTATCGGAACAACTGTACTCCTGCATGAGATTGTCGACTGCAGCTTTTTGCCAAAGAGACATTTGTACATTGAACCGCAGTATCCAGGAATCATTTCCTGGCTACTTTTCCTGGAGAAATGAACAACAGTAGAATCACCTGCTGGGCGTTTATCTTCACCTGTAATAGCCCGCCATGCCCCCCACCCTTTTCCTGAATGTTGGACACAATCCAACATCAACAATTTTTTTAAATGATGTGATGCTTCCAGCTCACAAAGGAAAGGACCTCAGACTTTTCCGGCAGTGTCACTAGCAAAGTCTGCCGCCATGAAACAAGGAGGGAAAAAACCCTGAAACACCTGTATTTGTGGCTCCACTTGACGTGCCGCCTCGCCGGATACCGCTGAAATGTGACAAATGCCTGTTTTTCTTTTGTGACGCCATGATCTGCCTATGGATGGCATGGAAATGGATGATGGCGACAGGAGGTTGGGTAGCTGCAGTGTCCATCCGCCATCTCCATGGCGGAGGCTTTGTAATTATTCAAAGAGCAATTTGTCTTTTTTAGCCTAATGCATTATCGTTTGCCAGCTGGTATTCACAACGATCTGTCGTTTTCCTCTGGTTTTTGTAATTGCATTGGGAAATCACCTAAACATCAGAGCTTCTTGTCAGGTTTTGTTGATGAGGCAACAAGGTCAAACATGCCAATAAACATCATTTTGTGAAGGAAGTTGTTATATAACAAAATTTGTTTGTGAAGATTTGATGCTATAGTTTTAATTAAAAATAAATTACATTATTCTTATTGCTGCAAGAAAACACTGGTAAAATGAAGAATAGTGCACTTAAAATTTGATGCCGTTGAAAGTATTTTTCTCATTTATGAATTTCCTGTGCATTTTGAGAAAAGAGAAATCATTTCTGCACCACCTTAGCTTACATGTGTAATGTCAGCATACATTACTTAGTGCATGTTTGTTGAAGAAAAATTAGATGGGGCGTATTTACACCAAACCCATCAGTTTACAACTGTTTTACATGAAATCTTTTTAAACTTTGTGATGATGCAAAATCTTGTGTCAACATTTGGGGATTTTAAGGAAAGAAGGAAAATGTACACCTGATGCGTAGGAGTATGAGTCATTTCAGACAGGCATAAGTCAGTAACTTCTAGTGATTGTCAAGTCACTTAGGCTGTCTTGTTGCACTGCTTTCTTGATGCTAATCACCCCCTCTAGTCAGCTCTGCATCTTATAGCTGGTGTCATGTCATCCTGTCACCGACACTGCATAAATTTCATGCAATTAAATGCCCATGGTTCCCAGGTCGTCATTACTTATTAATGGCAGAACCCAACGCCCCTTGGTAAACTTTTTCTCCAACTGTGACAGAAAAAAATAAACCACACAAAACCGCACGGGAAGAAGGAGCAGATCACACCAGGCCGACACGTCCGAACAAGTGACAGTACCCATGTTTCGCACCTCCAGTGCCTTCCCCAAAACCTCCTCAGTGGAACTGTCTTGTCGTGTGCGATGCACGATTGATGATGTGCGGCAGTTGGCACATCAGACAGGCAGGACCTGGTCCCACGTGACTGGACACCAACACCCCACTGACTGAGCTGGTGTTTGATGCTTGTTAAAGGGACCAGGTTACACGGATTAAGGTTGTCTCCTGGGATTGCTGCAAGGGATGCTCTAATTCCTCACAAGTCATTTTTGTGTGTGTTCCAGTCTGGGTTCATCAGGTGTACTTTACAGTATCTCTTCCTCAGCAAGCAATGACTCAATTCTAAAGTCTTTTGCCTCTGTATGCTGTTAAAGAAGAATGTATAAAATCAAACATCTCTGCTCATCACTCGACTGGTTTCTGCTCATCACTCGGCTAGTTTTAATGCATGATTCATGTACATGTATGATGTAGCTTAGAAAAGGAAGAAAAGATTGAAATGAAGAAGTCTCGGGTTTTGCACCAATTTTGTAAAAAAAAATAAAATTTAAGAGACAGTTTGTTTACTCACAGTTCCAAACATTTCAGCTAGTTTAGAAAGGTATTCATAATTATATATGTATATATTGAATGCAACCATTGCTGCTGTGGTAAAAGGCAGGTATGAGAGTTGGGGGAGTTGCTTGATAAAGAAGGGTTATTGTGTGGAGGTCACAAGCACAAAACGAAGTTTCCCATTTGGCATGACTTAGGTGAGTGCTCATATACACACAAATTAAACTTCATTTCCTTATTGGTAACATTTAATTCACCCATTGAAATATATTGTTTTGGGGAACATAAGGAAAGGAAGTCTACCTCTCTCCCATGTCATGCCCCGTTCAAGCCGCTCCCAGAGCCCAGTCTGTTTCGGAAGATGACAAGTATTACTGGACCCTGTTGTTTCGAGACACACCAACAACAGCTGTCCTGACTTCTGAAGGCGCCCACTCCTCTTACCTTTTATGGAATGGCAGGGTTCTCGTTTGTTGGTCACCCTCAAAACCTGTTAAAAATTGAATTGACAATGCAGAGCCATCATCAAATGGACCCTTCCGCTGTCTGCCAGGTTCTCATCCTAGTCCTTCCCCTAAGGAGTGGGCCCCCCTTGTAAGTGTCATACTCATCAGTATGCTACAGGCTGTGTGAAATAAAATCCCGGGGGGACCACTCTCGTGAGATCAGAAGGTCCATGCCCTCACTGCTGTATATTCTTACCACCTGCTCTTTTGATAGGATGCCGTTTCGTTTATATCATTGTTTGAATTTTGAGTGTGATATATGTAAGAAAGAAAGAAGTTTTGATAATGCGATAACAGTGACTTGCATTCAGTGGATACATTTAATTTGTACAAAGGAATTGATAGTCACAAATGTGATCCATACAAGTATTGGATTGTCTTATGCTTGTTTTATTTTTACTTGGCTTCTTTCTGGACAGAACTGTTGGATATTGTCAAATCTAGTTTAACAAGCAGTGTGATTTGTTTAAATTCCTGAAATAGGCAGTTAAAATGACAGTTTTTGGTATTAATCACTAAAATTTTAGCCTTATTCCCCTGAAATATCAACTCTTGCGTTGTTTTATCAGTGCCTGTTTAGTTTTGTGTGCTTTTTGCGTTTACCAAAAAATACTAGACCTTTGCAACATGTGTGTAAAAGCTGCCTATTTCGAGAATATTGATGTTGTGTGTTGTAGAAGTTTGTCTTTTAAGTAAAGAAAAGAACCAGAAGCCGTTTTGGAGCCTCGCAAGCCCAGGTAAGATTTCAGCCTTTCCCCATGAAGAAAAGATTTAAAAAAAAAAATAATTTCCAGTGTATTTCGGTTGGCAGTACTTGTCAACAGAGGGCGCTGTTCCGCCATCCCATATCTCCGACAACTTCTGGCGTGGCTAGCATCACGCATGTAGCAGCAGTGCACGCAGTTGGCCATGGATATGCAAGATTATGCATTCATCGTGTTCTGATCTGGCGGTGTCTGTGCAATGCCCGGAACGTATGCATGGCCGACCCGTCCCGCCGTAAATCCTGCATGATTTACCCGCTGCGCGTCGCGGGGAGGTAGCTGACCCGTTTTCCCGGGATATTCCAGGGGAGTTGACCGGGCTTGTCATGGAAAAAAAGACATGGGGGTTTCCAACGTGCACGCGGCGATACTGAACCGATTTAGCGAGGAACTAGTTCTGTGGTGATATATGAGCGCCTGTCATTTTCGGCTGGTACTTTTTCTGTTTATCTTGGATTGCTAGATGGTTAAATGTGGCCGTGTGGTGGCAGCAAACAGACCGTAGCACATGCACGTTGTCCTATAATAATTTTGATACGGTACAAACTTGAAAATAGTTTTTAAAAAGGTTTTTAAAAAATGATGGAAATACCAATACATCATCCACCGGTCATCCTTGCCTTTTTACGTGAACCAGACTTTGGCAATGTTACACAGTCACTGTGGTATAGTGTACAGCAGCCGAATATAAGCTTTTTTGTGCGTATGAGTTGTTTTTTCTCAGCGTTCATGGTGCGGCCATGTGCTCAAAGCCGCAAGTATTGACATTGTGCTATTTCACATTGTATTCTTTGACATATGTTTAATATGGATGTGAATGTTTGTCATAATGACTGATAGATTGATGCATTCCTTTGTGGAACCGTATCAATTTGGTGGGGCATATTGTGGCGGAAGTACATGTAGGTCTGTAATCTTTTTATGTCTTCACATTCCCTGGGTTGGTATTTATGAACATCTTTGT